CAGAGCTTACATGTTGTAGATGCATAACAAATGAAGAGTATTGCAAAACTGCGTATTCAATATGTTCGCGTTCACATGCACTGATGCGCAGTGGAATGACAGTACCGAGGGGCAAATTACGGAGCGGACTTCATCAAACAGCATATCCACAAATGGTTATAAGGATAACGAATAAAATGATTACCAATGATTCCAAATCAAAATCATATCTTTCCAGTTCTCTCGTGGCATTGCTGTTCCTTCTGCTCGATCGCTCGGATGTGTTCTCTTGTTTCTGTTGGTTCAACAGTGTTGTAGCAGGAGTTGCGACATGAATTTCTCTTTCCTCGATCTAAAACTACTTCATATTCAGTAATAGCGTATGCCATTTGACAACTTGCGGAAAATACGGCATGCCTTAAAAGCATTATTATGGGCAGCCTGTTCTGGCGTTCCTTTTTAAATATCATAAAGAAACTGGTCAGTCAGTCAGCCGCTCAGCCAGTCAGCCGGTCAGTCAGTCAGTCAGTCAGCCAGCCAGTCGGTCAGTCGGTCAGTCGGCCAGATGGTCAGTAGGGCAGTAGATCAGTAAATCAGTAGGTCAGTAGGTCAGTATGTCAGTATGTCAGTATGTCAGTAGGTCAATAGGTCAGTATGTCAGTAGGTCAGTAGATCAGTAGGTCAGTAGGTCAGTAGGTCAGTACGTGAGCAGGTGAGTAGGTGAGCAGGTGAGTAGGTGAGTAGGTGAGTAGGTGAGTAGGTGAGTAGGTGAGTAGGTGAGTAGGTGAGTAGGCCACTAGGCCACTAGGTCACTAGGTCACAAGGTCAGTCGGTCAGTCGGTCAGTCGGTCAGTCAGTCAGTCAGTCAGTCAGATGGTCAGTAGGGCAGTAGATCAGTAGATCAGTAGGTCAGTAGGTCAGTAGGTCAGTATGTCAGTAGGTCAGTAGGTCAGCAGGTCAGTATGTCAGTATGTCAGTATGTCAGTAGGTCAGTAGGTCAGCAGGTCAGTAGGTCAGTAGGTCAGCAGGTCAGTAGGTCAGTAGGTCAGCAGGTCAGTAGGTCAGTAAATCAGTAGGTCAGTAGGTCAGTAGGTCAGTAGGTCAGTAGATCAGTAGGTCAGTAGGTCAGTACGTGAGTAGGTGAGTAGGTGAGTAGGTGAGTAGGTGAGTAGGTGAGTAGGTGAGTAGGTGAGTAGGCCACTAGGTCACTAGGTCACAAGGTCACTAGGTCAGTCGGTCAGTCGGTCAGTCAGTCAGTCACTCGTCAATGAGGGATCGATTTTGACTATCAATCATTATGAAAGAATTAAGGATCATCTTGGAACTTTTGACTATTCTTGGTACCCTATGAGCAGCAGAAAATCATATGATTGAAGTGTCTAAAGTGCTTCAAATTTATTTTCTACCTTTATTAACAGGCTAAATATATGCAAATAACTTCGCCCCCCGTGGTTATCGATTTCAGAGTGTGATGAGAAAGGAGGATTACTGGAAACCATGGCAACGTTTAACATAAAACAGAGCCATCTGCCCCTGATAGCATAGGCGGTGTCGATCATCCGTCAAAGTCTAAAGGGCTATGCCAAGTGTGGGAGAAACGAGGAACAGTGGGTAAAGTGGACAAACACAACGCATTGCTCGCCTTTTGGCAGATTTGAGCGCAAAAGCAGGGAGACGGCTGCAGAACATGACAAGTAGAGAACGAAGATGACAGTCATGAACATTGTCACCACCTGCTCTGAACATAGGAGTAAGGCGACGCAGTACTCTCCTTGCACTTCAGTTATGATTCAGTAGGAAGGTTGTCTACAATAGAGCTCACGTTCGTAAATTGAAATATCTCTTTACTCAGATTGAAACAACAGGTTCTTATTGACGTGACCGGAATTTTCCGGCTGGATGTGATAAATTCTGATCTAAAAAGCGCGTTTGATTTCTGAATCACTATGGGTGGCAGCTATTTTATTCAAATGTGCGCCTTACAACCGTCGCTGAAAGCGACTGTATTGTTCCAGCAGGTCGGAATCTGGATGACTAAATGATTGAATGGAAGCGGAAGATTGGCAATCATCTAGTCGAAGTAGCATGAAACTACAGCTTAAGCATTTTTACATTTGTGTGCGTCCATTTCAGAAGAAAATATGACCCTCGTTGAGATAGTGGCGTGTGCTCTACGAAGTGTCGATTACGGAGTACTTGGTTCTAATGGATGATTTTAATACACATGTCGGAACAGACACTGAGAAGTGCAAAGGCTTAATTAGAAAGAGTAACCCTAGTGACTTCCACATGAGGCACTAGCGACATGAGGTTATTGCGGTTTTGTGCGAAAAACTGCTATGAACAATGTCGTAATGTTCATCAGTTCACCTGTTTTCGGGTAGTTTGTGATCAGAAGTCAGTGATCGATTTGTTGATCTCATCTTCTGACCTACGACGCTGTGTAATCAATGCTTGAGTCAAGAGAGGCTCAGAGCTGTCAATCGACCATAACCTTGCTGCTGGTACACTTCGCTGCAAACGACGGGGTAAGATTTCTGCCTGACGGCAGAAATAACTAGAAAATCAAGTGGAAAGCTTATCGTTTGCTTATCGTCAAAACTTGCAAACAATATCACACGACGGTTCGAACAGAACTGCTTACTTGGGGTTTCCATAGAATTTTTCGATTTAAGACGTGTTGCCCTGTCGTCTGAAGGTTTGAAACGAACTTCCTGGTGGATACCAGCGGTTTAACAAAGTGTCAAGAAAATAAGTGTATTGAAGAGGTAGTCTGGAGGCCAAAAGTCCTCAACTCGTATTCGATACGAAGAAGCCTACTGAAGGAGAAAGGTGATTCTTAAAAAATGTTCAGTGAAATGCTGGGGAGTCTGAGGGTCCTAAGTACAAGGCTCAGATCCCTTCTTACCAAGGAAGAGGACATGATTCAGCGATGAAAAAAGTACTTTGAGGAGCTCCCTTACCCAAATGAAATGTGGGTAGGTTCTCCTGGCTAGCAGTAGGCAATAAGTCTGTAGACAAAGTCGTAGAAGCTACAAAAGGTTACTGGTATCAATGAAATTCAACCAGAAATGCTTATAGCTTCAGGCAAACAAAGCATATTGTGGCAAACATGTGTCTGTCAAACTGCAATGGGTATAAAAATTACACCAATTATGATGGTGAATGGATCTTGTGATGTCTATGTTCAAGAAGGGAGATCATGGAGAATGCTCAATTATCAGGACATTTCCTCATTAGCATATCGAGGAAAACATATCATATTCAGCCAATGACGCATGTCTGCCATGTTGATGGCACATTCCTTGGAAAAACGATTGTGACGCTATTGATCCTGCGATCGGAGAAGTGCAGCGGGATATGACAGCGAAAGGACGCGAAACGAGCGTGTGACGTTAAGCGGAGAGGGGACATAAAATATTTACAGAAAATCATGAGACACTTCTTAATGATTATTTTCTAGTTAAAGCGAATTGGCCTAGCAGCAGTATTTGTATATGTGAAAGATTTAATCCTGAAGTTTAGATGGATCAGAAGCTTAGAAAATTTCATCAAAATTCATTCATGCTTGAAAACATTAAAGCATTACAGGACTTAAATACGCTTTTAAAAACAGGGCATGTATCACGGAAGAAATGATAAATAAAACTAGCTCACTCACGAGGTTTAACATCGAAAACTCTTCGTGATGAATAACTTGGATCCATTGCTTAAAATTTCGGACTGGCCACCCCAAAAGTATTAGTATTATTTAACCTTAATTCCAGATGAACGGTCTTCAGTTGAGTGTTTTGATCCTTATTCTGCATGCAATAAATAATGCCTGTTTAAGTATTCATTCTTTCACCTTCAAAGACTGCACGCTTTCATTGTCCGTCACATCACCGCACAAAAATGAATACCGTGAGCATCCCTCACACGAAATAGAATGCATAACTGACCGTAATAATTAGGAATACTTATGTCAATCTTATGCTAACCAGTTCATGCGTGATTTAACTGCATCAGTCTTAGCGTACCCGCTCATTGAAGCTCTACTAAATTTCAGGAAACATACCAAAAAGACAACAAACAAGCCGTAATATTACCGTATGGGAATCTGCATTAACAGCTCAGTATTCTGCTCAATCATCCTCAAAACGTTTCTAAAAAGTGCTGATCTTTTGATGAGCAGAAATTGGTTCCTTTAATAAGTCTTCTGCAGTTCGACATGCTATGAGTTTGGTACATTCAAGCCTTTTGGCTCTTAGTTTGCTAATTCTTGCGAGCTGTTTTGTCACCTTGTGCATGAACTTTGCTTAGCCAGGTTATCTTGACCTCACATCTGAGAAGATTCCTACAGTTATGTTTCTAGATGTGGAAAAGACGCAGCCTGCGGTTGAGAGCACCTCGAATTGTCGCTTATGAAGCTTTTATTGCTTGAAACGCTGCAACTCAGGTACTTTGTTGTCAAATTCTTCTTTATGGATGCTAATGGTAATTCTTACTGACGAATGATGGATATTTGGCACTGTGACTGCAACGGTCATGTCTATCTACAGGCTTGTGATTACCAAATATTCTGCCAAACGTTGTGAGGTCATGAGAGCAAAAACAAGGTAAGCAACTGTATTTTAAAGACGAGTAAATGATAAAGGTCGCAAATTATTTTAAACTTTGTGAAAACTGAAAATGGACCTTAATTACCTGCTTATAATGTTGTTAAGCAATGAACGGGGATTATGAATCATGTAAGCATATGAAAAGGAGACAAATAAGACTGCATGTTTCGAACATATTTGGTACGCATAAACATTTCGGATAGTGCAACAACCACGACTCCCTGTTTCTTTAAGAGTACAGAACGAATCTCAATCCAGAGCATGACGGAATGGCGTTTCGCATTCCCTCTCCAAAATAAAATGTGAATGATAGGCACCACAGTCTCATCCAACTGTAAACTCATAGCGTTCTTCGCGTAAGCAGGTTTGCCTCAGGTATGCATGAAGGCTTATCAATCTCTTGACACAATCGATTGATTAGTCTATCATCTTAGTGCTCATGATTGATAATTGGTTTAACCGTTTCTGGTTACAATGGACATTGCTGTATTTAGATTTGGTATCCTTTCAGAATTTTATCGTTTCTCAAAGTCCAAGGCGCAAACTGAGACTAGATATCTGATGGACAAACAGTTGTGCTCATTTTGAGTAAGAACAGATACAAGAAAACATGTATGCGGTAGAGGCTTATACCTTACTAGTACTCGTTAACCTATATCAGCGTTAAAGTAATTAATTTTATTTTAAACTTCTTAAAAATTAGTCTCTCCAAAGGCATTGGTACCCTAGAACCATTCCATCATATCAATGCTGTTCAGCATTATATTACCTCCTGCACCTTTTCATCGACCGTCGAAAACAAACCGAGACATGGCGTCATTTCAGTGACGCAATGCTGAAGTCTGCGTGTTCGACTTCTCTCAAGTTTCTCACCAGCAGCGGAAGCCATGCAAAACCGGATGGCAAGAGTTGCCCATAAGGAAGCAAAACATGAGCGTCGCTCGCTTGCTGACCAGATGCTACAGACTTGTGCATTTCGGACCTGAGGTGTCGAAGTCATGACGAGAACATTTGATTCGTCGGATAGGAGAGGACGATGTTTTCATTCGTTTTGAGTCGATAAATATTTTCTAATGTCGATGATTGAAAGAACATCTTTTTTTGCCATTGAAACTCAAATAATCAATTAAAGCCATTGTTAATTTCTAACCTGAGTAAAGCATGTTTCTCATCTTTCAAAGGCAGAAGATATTGTATTACATCATGTGACAGTAAATAGCGCTTATACGTTCTCTTTTGCTTTTCTTAATCGATCTATTGATTTTGTGTGGTTTATAATGGCTAAAAGTTTTTCAGAGTCCTGTAGCTAACAGAAGTGAAAAAACTCATAATGCACTTATGTTTGTTATTGTTCGACATTGGATATGTTTTCCTTCGTTGTGAATAAATCCAACAATCTTTAAACGAAACAGGCAACGACTGCATGGTATCTTAGTGCTTTCAAGTCAGAGATACGTTACGTATCATTTAGCCTATTAACGCCTTGCAAGCCATCAGTAATCGTTCAGGGGACACTCTTGTTACAGACGTTCTACGACGCGACATTCTTTGTGCAGCCGGACTTGGGTTGGAGCAAAGAAGTCGCGGAGGAGGTGCATCAAACGTTTATTAACATCGCATATGCATAGCAGACAGAACCCTTAAGACCGGACTGGTGTTTTCATACCATTACATTTGCTTCACTTGTTTTGAGGGATGAATTCACGTTAAAAGGGATTTCTTCAGGGACATCCGGTCCTTTGTTGCAGTGTCATCCATTTTGGATGTTGCTTGTTCTTCGGAGGGCGGTTGTTTCTGGTCAGTTGTTTGAGCTGATGTGCGAAGATCATCAATCACTCTAAGAGAGACCAACACATCAGACAAATGATGGAATACTTGCATCATTCTGGTAGACTGTAACGTCTTGTCACAGCAGTACTGTGCCGTCGAACCCACATGCTTGCTTTTTGGGCAGGAATCTATCTGCCTCCCTGCCAATCTTGTGCTCCTAATCACTGTGATTCTCCAGTGCCAATGGCGTTTGTTCTTACACCATAATCGGCTGCTGATTGCTGCTCTTTAAATAACCCTGTCTTTCAGCAGATCATAACGTCAGCATCAACGATTTGTGCATTTAAGTACGACAGATCTCCCTCTTTCCTTACCCTGTACTGTTCTCACGACAGTGGCTTCATTTATGTCGAAACTGACCGTTTGAAAATGACGTCTCTTCTGTCGAGAGGCAGGGAACGACAAGTTTAACTATCAAAGCAGCATATGAGATTGTCAGAGACACGCACGAGTTCTTGCAAGAGTAGAAGGTTTCTACAGACAACTGCACAACGATGAAAACAGCAGCAACTTAGGTGACGAAAAGGAACCTGAAATGACGAGTGAAGTGAACAGGGCTCTAGACGTTTCGTGGAATGATACGTATTCGCGGAGTGATATGCAATAAAGGAGACGATGATAATGATAATGATGAGATAATGACATTCGCGGTGTGATATGCAATAAAGGAGACGAAACGAGGAAGGTCTCCAGGTATGCATTAGAGTGGAACTCGTGGAATCAGTAAATAAAATAACTTACAAAGACATTAGCGCTTTTATTTTCACAATTTTTAAAATGAAAGTACCAGAAGAACGGATATATTCATCGATAAATTCCACTGTTCAAAGAAAAAGAAAAAGAAGGAACTGAAGAACCACAGGCCGATTGATTTTCTGCCCAATCATTTGTAAGATTTTGGTGGCACTGCACTGTTGAATTACCTTCAAGAAAACTAGAGTCTGTGCATTCAAACGAGTGAGTACGATTCAGAGCTTTTGTCGATACGTTGGTTCATTAGACGATTACATAAGTTCTGACAATCAACGAATTTCAGCTTTCTGTCTGCCTGGGAATCGTCGATTTCGAGAAGGCTTTTTATCACGTGTTAACCAGGTCTGAATTGAATGCGTTGAAGCGTCAGAGATGAGACAAAAGTACAGAAATCATCACAGCGATTTACTGAAACGCAGCTGCTAGTAAGAAGTTTCATGAAAACGGAAGAAATTCAAAAATAGAAAAGATGTCCAATAGAGTAATCAAGATTTTGGCACGTGTGGCGTACTGAAAAAAAGTATAAAACGGGTTGTTTTGATCAATCAGATGATGGACCGATTCCGACGTATTGGCCTTTGTGTCGCGGGTATCTTCAAAATGCAAACATGGTACACTTCTGAAGTCACTCGGATCGTCTGTAACTGATCGTTGGTTCGAAACTCTCATCTACGATTTTGGCTGATCTTTGATTGACCACCCCCTGCCTTGTGTGTAAGCATACCGTTTCAACGATATTTTCCGACAGGATGATGCCATATCACTTAAGTCATTCACAGCGACCCAAGAAGAGGTTTTCAAGACACAAGAAATGCCAGGACTGAAGATAAACGGTTACTGTCTAAACTATCGTTGTTCGCAGATGATATTTTCATTTGAACAATATCTCATTAAGAACTGCAGAAAAAATTCATAACGAAACGAAAAATGAGCCTTAAGAAAATTTCAGCTAATGTCTAAAAAATGCCTGAACCAAAGGCCTGCTGATATCATTGAAATAAAAGAAAAGTTTGTCATCGTTGGAACATCGATCTTCCTTTACTTTCATAATTCTGACATTTCGGCTACCTTTCATTTCATGAAGATGGAGACACGGTGCCATCAGCCAAGAGTGTCTTATTTGTCTGAAAGGCATAATTTACAGCCATTTGACAACGGCAGCGTGTGGTCTTCTGCTTCCTTTCTACAGAGTGATACGAATTTATCAACCTCAGAAGGAAGCAAAGCGAGTCAACCCGGAGGAATCCTGAACTCGGTTCGACGCTCTTCCGATTGAGCAACTCTGGTCTAAAGTGATTTGTCGTAAATTCCTTGTTCAAATAGTACCAGACTAAGATTGCCATCGAGCATAATCGAGCCGGTACCTCCGGAGTTCGAAGCAGACTTCTTAGAAAGTGTACCAACATACCACGTGATGTCATGTGAAGAAAGCTTCATAAGGGCAACATTACTTTTAACCGAGGATAGCTGACCTCTGCTCTGCAATAAATTTAGCGAATCTATAGAAGCATAACGACATACAACACCTTTGAAAAACTTAGAATGTTCTTATCATCGAAAATGCCCCTGTGCATGAAATGGAAATCTTCGAACAGCATCCACTTCCGATGCTGATGTATGGATACGTTGCGCAGACCATGGTTGCCAAAGTTGAAGGTTATTCACAAAATGCAGACTATGAATATGGAGAAATGAAGTTAGTTTATATTTTTGTCATTTCCATTGAATTTTATCTCTACTTTCACGCATCCATTTATTTTTACATTAACGTTTATGCTTCTTCAGTTTTGCCTCCTTATGTAACTAGAGACAAATCCTTTTAATCACTTTTTCAACTGTCCAGATTTACAACGGATGAAGGATCTCTCAGTTACATTCCAGCAACGTACGTCTTGCCCAGGGCAAAGTTGATAGAATGAACTGAATGCTACCTTCAAGCACGGTTATTAGTTAGTAACACAATTTGCTGAAGAAAAATGGATGAGGCGAACAGGAAGGATATAGGGTCGGACTTCTTGTTTCTCTCGTTCGAAAAAGATTAGGTCATGTAGGAACAACATACAGCAGAATGAATACCATTTAGGCAAACTTATATGTAAAACCAGCCAAAGTCGCATACGTCAGTACTGCCGCAATCACCCAAACAAGTCTTACACCTAATTATGGAAAATCACGTCCTTACTTTAAAGGACATGGGGAATTGCTACCGTTAATACGAGATATATATCTCGTACTGTATGTACACTAAAGTGAAATGAATCATAATTAGTGCAAAAAATAGACATGGGAATGCTTGGTCAGGAGTACCGGCAAGACCTGTTATCAGTGTGGAAGAACGTAGTAGAGGAGCTGGTAGAACAATCTCGGACAGTATTACATTTGAATTTGCCTGCCTGACTTAAGTACATTTCAACATTGCATTCTTCCAACTTAAAGCCTTTGCTTCTCCAGATTGAGAAGTCACAGCTGCGCTGGCTTGGGCATGCTTTGCAAATGCGCCCAGAAAGAAAGGCTAAACAACTGTTCCTTGCAAATCCGACCATCAGAAGGCCCAGGGGACAGCCAAGATTAACCTGGTGCAAATATATGGAAGGAGCCTGTTCCAGATTCCATTTGTCTTTTGCCGAAGCTCAGACTCTGGCACAGGATCGGGAACGTTGGAAGCTCTGTCTGACGTGTCTGTCTCCGCGACCCGAAAGGAGAAGCGGCGATGGAAGATGAAGAAGATTCTTCCCACTTAATCTTCAAGAGTAAACTTGCACACCCTCTAATGATATTGCTTCTCTAAAATGTGAACGAATATATGACCTGAAGATGATCAATTCCAATTACAAGGGGTGAACAGGTTGTATATTGGACATTACATGCAGAGTAACAAAAGGAAAGAATGAAACTGTTAAAATGTGGGTCTCCTTGTACGTAAATGATGGGCACTTTTCTTCTCATGAAGATAACGGTTGGGTGCTGATCCCCATTTCCAGGTTATCAGCTGCGAGTACCCTATTTGTTTGAAGGCAGAGTCGACAGCAATTACGTTACAAGTACGGTATAGAGTTGATTGTTTCCTTACCATAGAGCGGTACTGCATTATCAGTCTTGGAAGGAAACGAGTGACCAGACAAGGGCTTG